GGGGTGGCTGGGTGATAGCCATTGGGGAGGGTATGTGCTATGGTGAGCACTGTGAATTGTGCAAGACTGTTGAATCACAGATCTGTACTTCTGAAACAAATAATGCAACATATGTTAAGAAAAAGAAGAAGATAGCAGGAGGGGAAGAATGAAGGGGAGTAAGTCGGAGGGGGAGACGAACCATGAGAGACGATGGACTCTGAAAAACAAACTGAGGGTTCTAGAGGGGAGGGGGGTGGGGGGACGGGTTAGCCTGGGTATGGGTATTAAAGAGGGCACGTCCTGCGTGGAGCACTGGGTGTTATGCACAAACAATGAATCATGGAACACTACATCAAAAAGTAATGATGTAATGGATGGTGATTAACATAACAATAAAAATTTTTAAAAAATGGATTAAGATCAGGGCGCCTGGGTGGCTCAGATGGTTAAGGGTCTGCCTTGGGCTCTGGTCGTGACGCCGGGGTCCTGGGATCGAGCCCCATGTCGGGCTCCCTGCTCAGAAGGTAGCCTTCTCCCTCTCCCTCTCCCCCTCTCCCGCTTGTGCTCTCTCTCTCTGTCTCAAATAAATAAAAATCTTTTTTAAAAAATAGTAGAAAATATCTGCAGATCATATATCTGAAAAGGCGTTAATATCCAAAATATATGTGAAGAGCTCCTACAAGTCAACAACAAAAAACCCAAAAAACTAGATTTTAAAAATGGGCAAAAAGGGCACCTGGGTGGCTCAGTTGGTTGGGCGACTGCCTTCGGCTCAGGTCATGATCCTGGAGTCCCGGGATCGAGTCCCGCATCGGGCTCCCTGCTCAGCGGGGAGTCTGCTTCTCCTTCTGACCCTCCCCCCTCTCATGTTCTCTCTCTCTATCTCATTCTCTCTCTCAAATAAATAAATAAATCTTTAAAAAAAATAAAAATAAAAATGGGCAAAGAATTTGAATAGACATTTCTCCAAAGACAATACACAAATGGCAAAATGCACATAAAAAGGTGTTCAGGGGCACCTGGATGGCTCAGTCGGTTGAGCATCTGGCTCTTGATTTTGGCTCAGGTCATGATCTCAGGGTCATGAGATCAAGCCCCACAATGGGCTCCATGCTCAGCATGGAGTCTGCTTGACATTCTTTCTCTCCCTTTCCATCTGGCCCTTACCTAACCACCTGCACGCTAAATAAATAAATAAATAAATAAATAAATAAAATATTTTTTCAAAAGGAAAAGACGCTCAACATCATTCATTAGGCAAATGCCAATTAAAACCACAAAGAGATATCACCACATATACAATGACTACCATAAAGAAGTAGAAAATAACAAGAGTTGGCACGGATGCAGAGGAATTGGAACCCTTCTGCCCTGTGGGTAGGAATGTAAAATGGTGCAGCCACTATGGAAAATAGTATGCCCTTCCTAAAAAAAAAAAAGAAAAAGAAAAAGAAAAATAGCATTACCATAGTGATCTAGCAATGCCACTTTGTGTACCTACCCAAAAGAATTGAAAGCAGAGTCTGGAAGGGATATTTGCACACCCATGTTTATAACAGCATTATTCACAACAGCCGAGGGGTAGAAGCAACCCTAAGAGTCCACCAAAGGATGAATGGATACACAAAATGTGGTGTATACGTACACACTGGAATAGGATTCAGCCTTAGCAAGGAAGGAAACCGTGTCACCTGCTACAACATGGATGAATCTCGGGGACATGCTAAGCGAAATAAACAAGCCCCAAAAAGACAAATAGTACACGATTCCAATTATATGAGGTCCCTAAAGTTGTCAAACGCATAGAAACAGAAAGTAGAAGGGTGGCTGCCCGGGGCTGGGGGAGGGGGACACGGGAAGGTGTTGTTTAATGCATACTGAGTTTTCGTTTTGCAAGAAGAAAACATTCTGGAGATCTGTTGCACAACGATGTGAATATACTTCTTAACATGATTCAGCTGCACCCTGAGAAATGGCTAGATGGTTGAATTTTCTGTTATGTGCGTGTGTGTTTTTTACCACAATAAAAAGAAAAATTAAACGCTGTGGCAGGCCACCGGTTTGCAATCTCTCCTGTAGACAGTGCTTCCCCCCACCCACCCCCCCAGGGGCCGGGCACGCACCACTTGCTTGGACAACAAGGACCGTGGGGAAACTTGTCATGACAGGCTTGTCTTAAGCTCTCTTTTACTTCGTTCATTCGACAACACTTACCAGGCGAGCCAAGCTCCAGGCCCTGGAGCGACAGAGATGAGTGGGGAGCTCCCAGTCTGGGGAGGACAAGGACAGAAGCTGAATGCATGAGAAGATCGGCTTTGACGATACCAATTCAATGGGGTTACAGGACACAGGGTGACTGGGAGGGCGCGAGATTACAGGGAACGGACCGGAAGGGCTCCGAGAAGGGGAACTTCATCTGAGATCCCAGTGACAGAAGCCTGGGGGCCTGTAAGCATGTGCGAGAGCTCCAGGTGGAGGGAGAGGGAGGGTAGGGACCTGGAGGCAGGGGCAGGCCTGGCGGGTGTGCAGTGGGCAGGGGCAGGCAGGCCTGACTCGGGAGCCTCTGGCGGGGAGGATGGCTCAAATGTTCTCAGCAGCCCTGTGTGCAAGAAACAGATAAAGCCCAGTCTCCTATTGGCATAAATTTGCTTTGTGAATTCAAATGTATCATTCTCTTTTATGACCAAAAAAAAAAAATTGAAAAATAAACTGTATTTTCCTAGAGTCAACAGACACCCCTCAAACTCTTGTATTTGCCTCCACACATCAATAGCTGCTGAATCTCTGAATTAGCTCCTTGGCATGATTTAAAAAACACTGATCTGCCTGGGCCCCGTCCCCCACTCGGCAGATGGATGTACTGAGGCCCAGAGCAGGGAAGGAGCTCCAAGCAAGCCCAGGGCTGAGCAGGAGTTGGGTATGGAGGTGAGGGGTGCCTGACTCCCAGGTCAGGGGTCTTACTGGGGCATGGGACGGCTCTGGGCCCTGCTTCCTCTATGGGGAGAACCTGCTCCCCAACCTTTGGGCAGTCTGGACATGGGTGTGGGGCCTGGGAGGGACAGCTGGGGGTCAAGCCAGTGGCTTGCTGGCTGGGCCGGGGGTGTCTGGGCACCCTGGCAGCACTAGCCTCCTGCTCAGAGGACCATCCCCTCACTTGCTGCTGGGCGTCCAAGCCCCCTTAGCCTTCTCCCATGATCCTCCGGGCCTGGCTCCCCCGCCAGGGAATCTCTGCATCAGACAGCCCCCGTTGGTGTCTAATGCTTGCTCCCAGGAACTCCGAAGGAGCTGGACGGGTTCTCAGGCTCCAGTGCCACGGCAATCCTCCCACAGCCTGTGCGGTGGCTGCTAGAGTCCCAGCCCGGCCACCGACAGGCCGTGTGGTCTAGGGCAGGCCGTGAGCCTGGCTGGGAAGGACACGGCAGAGCCACTAAAGGGTCCTCAGTTTCTCTGGGTTTCCTAAGACTCCATCCTGGATCCACACGTAGGACTTCCTACCACAGCCATAGCTGCCCGAGCCGATTTTCTTATTAGTGCTCTTTAAAATGACTTCCTTTTTATTTTATTTATTTTTTATTTTTTAAGATTTTATTTTTATTTGAGAGAAAGCAAGAGAGAGCGAGAGAGAGCATGAGCTCGGGGAGAGGCAGAGGCAGAGAGAGAAGCAAACTCCCCGCGGAGCAGGGAGCCCGATGCGGGGCTCGATCCCCAGACCGCAGGATCATGACCTGAGCCAAAGGCAGACGTTTAACCGACTGAGCCACCCAGGCGCCCCAAAATGACTTCCTTTTTAAACTGAAATTCATTTCCAAGACAAAGAAATGGAAAACCAGTGTTGCTTGCCCTAAGTTAAAACAAACCCAGCCAAACCAAATCAAATGATATTCCATAGAGCTGCCTGCTCGGGGCGCCGAGCTTGAGGTTTTCTCCCTCTGTGGGGAGGAAGGCAGAGCAGCGAGGGTTTCACGGTGTCAAAGGGCAGCACCCAAAAGAGCCTCTGTCTGTAACCAGAATCACTGAGAAGAAAACGACTTTGTCTCCCCAGGGGATTTAAGGCGAGTTCATGCTGCCTCTGCACGAAGTGGCACATCTATGGCACATCCGGACTGTGGCGACCACCCGTCTCCTTCAGAGTCCTGGCACGTGGAGGATTCCTAGCTGTGTGACCTTGGGTGGGTCACTCAACCTCTCTGTGCCCAGTTTCCCCATCTGTAAAATAAAGTTGGTAACAGTACCCACCTCACAGGATTAAAGCAGTTAAACACAGAAGCTCCTCCCCCCCCCCCCCCCCAGGGCAGAGATGGAAGAGAATGAGGTAAAGGGAGAGGAATGGACGGCTCAGGAGCACCTGGGAGCCCCCCTGCTCTCAGTCCCTCACAGCCCCAGCCAGCCTCACCCTCAGGCTCCCCTGCATGTGCCCTCCCTCCTGTCCCTCATCCCCAAGCCCCCTGAGCCCCTCCCTGCTCTGGCCAGGCTGCTTGATTGACTTCTCGCACCAACCCTGTGAGGGAGCTCGCTCATCAGGCCCAGTCCACAGAAGGGGGCACTGAGGCCCAAAAAGGGGACATGATTCCTCTGTCTCGGTGTGCACCACACAGAGGGTAGGAGGAAGACGCAGGGGATTCTGGGCTCCCCCACCCCCATCCAGCCCCAGCCCCCCTCCCCACGCATTATCTCTAGGCCGCAGCAGCTGAGCCTCCCAGTATCTCTCTAATCCCCCAAATTTCCGGTTCCCCAAAGACAACTCAGGATGTGGGGAGGGAGGGGCAGGGAGAGGAGGAGGGAGACAGAGAATGAGAGAGAGATCACAGAGAGAGACAGAGAGCCACAGAGAGATGAGAGAGACAGAGACACCGAGAGGACAGAGACGATCAGAGACAGAGAGACAGATGAGAGACAGCGCTCCCGAGACAGATGAGCAACAGAGGGAGACAGGCAGAGATGGGGAGACACAGGTGGAGAGAGAGAGCCAGAAAGGGGAGGGGTGCCGCAGAGACACAGACCCGCAGGGAGACATGAGCGGAGGCCAAGATTCTGAGGCTGAGGCAAAACTGAAAGTGGCAAGTGGGAGAGGGAGTCAGTCGGTGTCGGGTGGGAGGCACGAGGTGTTGGGGGCATCCGGAAACAGAAAGGAAACTGGTGAGTGTGGGAGCCAGGTGGGAGAGGGTGAGGAAAGCTCAGAGGCCCGCTCAGGTGCACAGGGAGGCAGCTGGGGACAGGGACCCAAACACGCCCCCAGAGGGGCCCAGGGGGAGGAGACCAGAAGCCCCACTTCCCCCTCTTTCTTGGAGCCCCCACGGGGCCGCAGATGCTGCACGCGTGCACCCACTGGGCTCATGAAGCCCTGTGTCCTCGAGAAAAGGGACTGTGTTCAGGCCCAGCCCCTGCAGCCCCAGAGCCAGCAACCCCTGGAGATGTCCAGCTGGTGTGCTCTGAGTGGACTCAGCTGCCCACCCTGCTCAGGGACAGAGGAGGCACTTGGGAGGAGGGGTAGCCTGGCTGCTCAGGTAGGGAGCGCCAACACCCTGCTTGGTCTGGCCACCTGCCCCCTGTGAGCCTCAGCTTCCTCATTTGTCCAAGGGTGGTCATGAGAAGAACGTATGCGGGGTCACGGTGAGGGTCAAACATATGTGAAGTGTGTGGCATGGCGTGGCATACACAGGTGCCTGAAGGTGGGCCTGTTGAAGTCGATGCTCCACAGCATCCTGTCTAGATGAGTCAGGGCCCTTTCATTTGCAAATGACAGAAACCCAGCTGGATGGAGCTGAGCCAAGTGAGGGAAGCATGTTAATAAACTCAAATAACTGAACAGTTCTTGGGTGGATGCAGTTTCAGGCACAAATGGATCCAGGACCTCAACCCACATTCCCAAGAACCTGTCTCCCCGACATGGCACTGCTCACCTCTATGCTGCCTTCTCTCTCTTGGGTGCCCTTCCCATCGTGGTCTCTGGCAGCTCCAGGCTCATGTCCTCCCTGTTGACTGGTCCCAGAAGACAGACAGACAGACAGAGAGAGCCTTATTTCCCAGAGTTCTCGCAAAAGTCCCTGTGCAGAGCACAATTTACTCTGTGAAATTTCTCTTTTGGTTTGACTCTTTGTTTTCTCCTTTTGGTAAAAGTCTCACTTTTAACCAGAACATAGCCTCCCTTCCCCCACCCCAAAGTAGGCTGTGCTTCCATAAATAACTGTGGAATGTGCTGTGGGACCTTAAGCAAATCACTTAACCTCCGTGAACCTGTTTTCTTTTCTGCAAGGAGGGCTCCTCATACCTTACACAGACAGGAGTGTAGTGAGACTCACTGAAATGATGAGTGTGACACAAGTGCGTCTCAAGAGCCGTCCTCCTTTCTATCAGCAACAGCCCCGAAGTCTGGGAGCCTTCCCACCTCCAGTGCCTCAGAATTGGGGGTGCAGCATATGACACAGGCCTAAGTCAGCCAGCACACGGCATTGTCCCGGCCAGCACCTGGTTCAGGGAGTCACGTGCCCCAAGCTAGGGCAGTTAGAGTAGTGTAGGGCTTTTGCTGGAGATGCTCAGACAGCGCGCTCCCCAGGCTGGGAACCCAGAGGCACCTGGTCTCTGGAGCTGCTAGAGCTGTCATGTGACCACACAACGGGAGCCTACAAATGGAGGCGTTAGAGAAAGGAGGGCTGAAGAGAAGCTAGAAGGTGGTGATAATATTCAGGCCTCTGACTCCAGCCACCCCTGATCGTTTCCTACCTTCTCAGCAACCAGGGATCCCCTCCTTCTATTTCTGGGGACACCTTTTGGGGCTATGGACCTCAGAATGAGAAGGTTTTACAACTGAGGTCCAACATCCTCAAAGGTTCCCAAAGTTCAGAAATCTAGTGGCGGAGTCGGGACTAAAACGAAGTCTCCTCCCTTGTATTCCTGTGCGCTTATCACCAAACGTGGTCCTCTTTCTGGAATCGTTGCTTATCAGCTCCGAGACTAAGAATACCAAGTAAACGAAGCAGAAGTAAGGAAAACCTGGAGAGATTTTCCTGAAGGGATCAAAGCGGGGGAATGGGTTGCGGGGCACGCACGAGGGAGGGGTGCCTGGGACAGATGGGCCACCTGCCTTAAAGTCTCCTCCGGGGTGTCTCTGAGAAGCAGTTAGAAGAGGTGGAGGGTGAGGGAACAGGTGAGTCTGGAGTTTTCTCACATGGGTTACTAGGTGCTCATCATTAGACCAGGGTGGCCTGATGGTGGTCACGATTTGGTGGACATGACAGCAGCCATGGTGATGTTAGAACTCTTTCTTCTGCAAGTGACAGACAGCCTGGCTCAAATTAGCCTAAGCACACACATAAAAAAGTCGATTGGCTCCTCAAGAAGTAATGGCTTCAGGAACACTGATCTGGGTGCTTAGGGGGGCGATCAGAATTCCACTTTTCTATTTCCATTTCTGTCCTCTGCTTGCCTCTGTGGTGCCTTCACGCACAGGTTTGCACAACGGAAGCCTGCAAACCCTGCAAGCAGAGACCTCCCCCTCCCCGGCCGCACGCCCAGGGCCTGAAGAGCTTCTCTTTGCCAGGAGTTCCACCCAAAGTCTTAGGAACGTGTCTCATTGGCCTGAATTGGGCCACGTGTTCCAATATCAACCAATTACTGGGCCAGGGGGTGGGAGATAACGGTTGGCCATCTTGGGTCTCCTGCGCAGCCAATCCCAAGCATCCAAGCGAAGCCGTGGGAACAAATCCGATGGCGGCGCGGCGTTGGAAGAAGGAATGGACGCTAGGAAGGCGAAAACAAAAAATTCCCTCTTTGGAGGTTATAAGATGGTCTGCAGATTGCTAATAATAACTTCCCCCCACCCCCGAAGTCAAAGAAGTTTGGGAAATACCAGATTAGGCAAAGAGAAACAGATTATTTTATCCCAGGATCTCTCCCCAGCCATGAACTTCCTACCGTGCGTTTCGTCTCTGCAAGGGAGCATGAGAGAACGCTGCTTTTCCCCGGCGCTCCCGACCACGGAATTCTTTCTTGAGAAGCTTCCCCCAGGATTCAGAGGCCACAAGATGCGTTTGGGGAAAAACAACACCGAACAGCACAAAGAGCCCAAGCCGTCACTGTCAGTGAGTCCTGGCCTGAGCGGCTGCTGCCGACACCTACCTTCGTTGGCTCAAGGATTGCTTTGGCCACCGGAAGGCAAAAGTTCTGGAGAATTAGGTGTGGGGACTCCTGGGCAGAGATGTGGAAGTACCCCCTCTCCCTCCCCAGGACGGCCTGGCCTACACCCACGTGCTCTGGTGTCACCCACATGCTCTGGCTGGCTCCCACCGTGCTGTCACAGGACCGTGCCCCAGGGCCCAATAGTAACTGGCTTTATAATGCACCCTTGTTGGACGCCTTCTTCTTCCTGTCTCACTCCCCTACTCCTCTGCTAGTGTTTTGGGATCACCTCCCAAATAAACCACTTGCACTAGGACTCTCACCTCAAGGACTGCCTCCGAGAGAACCCAAATCAAGAGAGCTGTTGCCTAGCGATGGCTTCTAGAAGCACCCAGATGTCTCCCCCAGCGATTCCAGAGAACACGCTCTCTTATCACTACATCGATCTTTCCTCCGACAACAGACTTCAAGAAAAAAAAAATTTATTTCTGCTCCCCAGCTTCCAGGAGATTCTTTCCACTGGCCACCCCGGTGGGCCCAGATACCCCAGCCCCGGCCCCACAGACATTGCATTGACTGTCTTTCCTGCCTGGCTCATCGACTGGTGGAAGCAAAGCCACATGTTCTTGCTGGTCCAAGAAGCAAAAATGGGAAGGTGCTTCGTGCCTCAGGGAATGCCCCTATCCCCAGTCCACCAAGAAATGGACCGGAGTCACCTTGGACTTCTCCTTGCCTCACAATGCAGGGCTGTCACCACGCCTCTTGCTTCGGCCTCTCGAGCATCTCATTCTACCACCTCTCTCCATTGTCCCTCCTTCTTTAGCCAGCCTACCACCACCTTTCCTGTACATATTCCCAACAGCCTTCTCTCTGCTCCCACCTCAGGGCCTTCGCACATGCTGCTCCTGCGGCTGGAACATCATATGCAACTCACCCACTTGGCCCAGACAGATCCGTGACCCTCAGCCTGCTTACAGTCTCTTAAAACGACCCTAACCCCTGCCCCCACCCATGCCCTCCTTGAGCCTTGGCCTCTATTATGAAATCGCTCAGATATGCAAACACTTAAGAGAATAATATTTCAGACGCTTGCAAACCCAACCCTGCTTAAGATTAAGACAGTACACATATCGCCGAGGCCTTCCTGAATGCCTCCCCAGCCATTCCGCATACTCTGCCGCATGGTTGCCTCTCCCCTGGACTTGGTATTCCTCGTCGCTTTGCCTATCTCGCGTACGTGTGTATCCTTGAACCAGATAATACCCGTTTTCAGGCTTTCAACTTCATATAAATAAAACAAGTGGTTTTCCTTTTCTCACTCCATATTCCCTTGGTGATGTTTATCTGCGCTGACAGGTGCTCCCCCGGCGCGTTCACTTTTACCTGCTGGGGCGCATCCACCCACAGTGTGACTGGGCTATAAGTGCTCCACCCAGTCTCCCAGTGATGGCCTCTGTCCACCCCTGCCCATCGCCGTCGCAAGGCCAAGGCCGCCCCAGCCTCTGGGACCCGCCCCCTCAGCCCGTGGGCTATTCACTCAGGGTTTATACCCAGGAATTTGCTAGGTAAAGGGACCCACCATCTCCAGCCTTACTGATGCTGCTAGATTGTTCTCCAAGGTGCTTGTACGAACATACCTTTTGATAAACTTTCTGTTCCTTCTGTGCCCAAGCACAAAGGTGCCTCTTCCCTTGTCTGTTTCTTCCAAATAATCTCTGCCTGCTGACGTCCAGCCTGTCCAGCCCTCTCCCCAGGCCTCCCTCCCCCACTTCTCCAATCGGGCCTTTGCAAGCCTCCCTTGGAGAGCAGCCGGCACTTTGGACGACCAGCCAGAGCAAGGACGTAGGCAGCAGGGACTCCAGAGGCCAACAGCTGCGGATGGAATCCCGGATTTACCACTTTGGCTGTGTGCCTTTGAGCAAATCGCTTCTCTCTGGGCCCGTTTCCCCACCTGTGAATGGGGATACCCCCAGTAAACTGCTCAGAGGGGAATGGCAGTGATTAAATGCGATAAGCATGGAAACATGGCGGATGCTTGAAGATAAGTTGTTACTATTGCCTTTGAAGCCCACAGAGGACGCCGACAACTCTGTGCATTACTCTGGGCTACTTTGTTGTATGCAACAGAAACCCCAAGTCAAGCCGGTTGAAGACAACTGGGAATTTATTGGCCCACGTAACTGGGAAGCTGGAGGGGGTGTCTCGCTTCAGGTGTGCCTGGATCCAGGAATTCGGACTCCAACAGGAAGCTGGCCCTGTCCACCTCTGGACCATTCTGTCCTCCACATCGCCTTCATTCTCGGGCAGGCTCTCCAAGTAGGGGCTCTAGGAATATATTCTTCCAGCTTACCAACTGCCATGAACAAGAAGAGCTTCGCCTTCCAGACACTTCCTGCCCAAATCCCAGGGCCGGTCCTCAGGGGCCCGGGTTAGGTTACATGCCCAGAGCAGAGCCAGTCACAGTGACCGAGGCATCCACCAGAAGCTGCTCAAAGTGTGGTTCTCGTAACAGAGCTGTCAGAAGCCTCTGGTAGCTCTTTTGAAACGCAGACTCTCAGGCCCCATCCCAGACCTACTCATTCGGAATCTGCATTTTAGCCAGACCTCCAAGGGAATCATCTGCACACCAGGGTCAGGAAAGGCTGCACTGCACATTACCTTTCAGTTGCCCGGGGTCCAGTCCATCCCCTTGTTTTAAAGATGGAGAAACTGAGGGCAGGGCGGGGCAGGGGGAAGCAGTCTTGTTCTAGGCATCCACCCGCCACCCGGGGCTCCCCCCGGCCCTGCCCTCCCATCATCCCAGCCGTGTCCATGGACTGTCTCATGGGGGGATGCACCGAAGCCCAGAAGTGGCAGCTTAGGTTGGACTTGCCTCACGCCGGAGTGCCAGAGCTGTGTCCCTGCCACCGTTAGGCCACTCCCAGTACCTGGTCAGGACCTTCCAGAGCGCAGCGGCCCCGGGGTGGGGGATGGAGACCCCTAGACACACACACAGGCTCGTGCACACACACACACACACACACACACACACTCCCACACGGGCGCTCGGGCACAGCCCCCCCTCACACGGACTCCCACCCACCAGGCCCCCCAAAAGCAAGAGCGTTACAGACCACGTCAGCCTTTATTCTACTGCAGAATAGGGCTGGGGCCGGGGTAGTTCATTCTCAGCTGCGTCAGAAGGTGCAGTGTTGGGGGCACAGAGGCTGGACCCCAAAGTGACAATAAGTTAGGGGGGAGAGTCTCAGACGGATGTCAGGCTGGAGTCAGGGCGGGGGCCACTGGGACCCCCCCCCCCGAGTCCTGCCAGCTGCCCAACTCGGGGCTCCCAGGCGAGGTTGGTTCCAGGACAGGCATGGCTTCGCGCTGAAACGAGAGGGCAGGGGAAGGGAGGAGTTGTGAAGTCAGGAGGTCAGCGGGGCTCAGAGGGCTCCCCGAAGGAGTTGGAGGATAGGGCTGAGGGGGGGCAGGGTGGGGCGGGCGGGGCCTCTCACCGGACCCTCAGTTAAGCCTCTACAGATTCTCATAATCTGGAGCTCCCTCTTCCTCTTCGTCGTCTTCATCCTCCACCTTCTGGGAGCTCAGGATGGCTGGGAGGGGAGGGAGGGAGGTCTTCAGCTCACAGACAGTCCCTGTCCCCCCTTCCCCGACGGCCCTCACCCCGCAGGCTCCCAGAGATTCCGCCGCCCCCGCCCCCCCCCATCCCCTCTCCCAGCCCAGCACACACCAGGCTCGGTCTTAGCCATGGGCGGCAGCTCCTGGGACACGTTCACATACTCCCGGCTCCCATCTGCAGGGGGCAGAGCAGAAGGGGGGGGCAGCCACGTGGAGGGTGAGAGAGCAGGACACTCAGGAAGAGGGCCACGGCAGGGTGAGGGAGGGAAGGGGGGGACCCCAGCGGGCACCGGCCACTCACCCAGAGACACGTCTGCACTCTCCTCGCTCTCTAGGACGTTCACATAATCCTCCCCCGACTCCACTGCAGGAGAAGCAGGGCCCCCAGCACCGTCACCCAGGGCCCGCCTAAGCACAGACCCCCACGGCGTCCCAGCCCCAGACCCCCCCCCCCCCCCCCCGCGGCGCCCCCCCCCCCCCCCCCCCCCCAAGATCCCAGAGGCAGACCCCCACAGCCAGCCCCAGGGGGGCCCACAGAGGCCTTGGCGACAGCGCGAAGTAGGGCAACCTGGCCAGAGCTGACGAGAGGGAGTGAGACCGTGGGAGGGGGCGGATGGCAGGCCCCGGCGTGTCCCCCAGGAGAGCGGCTCGGTGCCGAGGCTCGGGGTGGCACCGCGAGTCCCAGGTGCTGTTGCCCCCTGGCCCTGTCAGCACCTGTCGCCATGGGCGCCATCTTGGCCTTTAATGCGCACTTGTTTCTCCACGGGGGAGGCCGTGGACGAGGCAGGCTTTGGAGCCAGAGGGCCCAGGTTCAAGTCCAGCTCCGGCGCTCACAGTCGTGTAACCTTACACGAGATACCTGACACCTCTGGGCCTCGGTGTTCTCATCGGGAAGAGAGGGTGGGCGACGGCCCCCGCCTCCCAGGGCTGTTGTGGGAACTAACGCAGAGAGTATCGGAACGGGGCCTGTCCTACGGTAAGTGCCGCTGAGTGTCTGTTAAATAAATAATCCCTCCTGTCGTACAGTCGGGACACCCAAGGCGCGGGAGGGGGAGGGATGGGCTCAACAGCACCCGGGCGTCGTGGGGCTTAGTAGGTTAACACACGAAGCGCTCTCAGGAGGGCAGGTGGTCGGCCCCCGACAACATTAGCTCTTACCCTGATGCCGCCTCCTGAGCTGGAGGGAGGGACGATGAATCCATGAATGGAAAGAAGCACTAGCACAGATGGCAGTGGGTGCCCGAGCGGGCAGAGGGTACGGGGAACGAGGAGAGGGACGGAAAACCAGACATGGAAGGCAGCCTCTAACGGGCAGCGTGAGACCAACACGAAGGGAGAAAAGCCGCTCAAAGGAAACCGAAATGATGCCGGAAGCAGAAGAAAACTTCCCAACCCCCCACCCCGACCCCGCCGCCCGCAGAAGACCGGCCGTAATCAATATCCTCGGAGAGCGACAAGCTGACGCGGCGTCCGTGAAACCAGACAGGAGGCTCTGAGAAAGGAACACCAGAGACCGAGAAAGAGCTTCCGGTGGGAGAGACAAGACAAGAGAGTCCAAGAGAAGAGTGAAGTCCAAGAAAGCGCGCAGGCAGTGAAAGGGAAAGACCATGGAACAGGAAAGGGGACGGAAAAAGGGAGGAACTCAGAGGAGTTGAGCAGAAGTCAACCCTGAGGGATAGGTGTTGGAGAGAGAGAGAGAGAAAGAGAGAGAGAGAGGAGAGACGGTGGGGGGGGGGGG